CCCAAAGTATTTTCAATTAATTTTAGTGTGTTGAAAGTTTGATTTAAAAAAATGTAAGTGTAATATGCTCATCATATAATGCAATTTTAAAATTTTGTTTAGTAGGTCTATAGTTAAAAAAAACATTTTTAAATGCAAATAGGTTAAACAATGTATAACAAAAACGAAATGTTTCAATAATGCATGTGCAAAAAAAAAAGACCCCCTTCGTCAACTGGCTAAAAAAATATGAAATTCAAGAGAAAACCTGAGAGTTATGAATACTAATTGATGGATCTAATTTTTCAACACTTCATTAGACATGAATATGTTAAACCTGCCATGTATGACTAACACACGTATTGCTATCCGTTTTCGTCTGTCCTCGTGTGATGTGCGTCGCGTGTCGTGTGTTATTATTTGACCATTTTTAGCTTCTCTGCAACTGCTCAACCAATTTTAACCAATTTTAGCAAAAAGAATCTATGGGTGAAAGGGAACATAAATTATAAATTTCATGGTCCCTGCTCCCCTGGGGCCTGAGGGGTGGGACAAAAACTACTAAAATATGTGCGATCTTCAAGAATCTCTTTCTTTACTCCTGGATATCAAGCAGTCAAGCTGTTGGCATAATTGTAATGAGCATTGAGTCCTCTACCGAAGAACAAGGTGCCTTACTTGGCCTTGTGAATTTCTGAAAAACTGAAACTGCATAGTTTTAGTTTACAATGCATTAAATATCAGTTAGATCTTCGGTGACTGCGTATCTATAAAACATGACGTCATTTTCTGACTAGTCAATGCATTGTGACGTCACGAAATGCATCAATTTCCTCATATTCTGAATTCTTAAAACTATTTTTGATATTTCATATAGAACGCAACCCCTGATCTAAAATATGCAACTAGTAAATGATAGAACTGTTTCTGGGGATAAATGGACTTGTTTTACTTTTTAGATCAGAGAGTGGGCTCTTATTATTTTTCTTCACTGAAAGTACTCAATTATACCTGTTCTGCTAAAAATTCAAGAACATTGCAATTTAATAAATCCAGTTCTCCAAGACCTGGACTCTGAGGAGAAAATTTTTAAAGGATATGAAAGCACCAAATCTCTACTTTATTTTAATGCTTCAAATAGAAAATCAAGTGTTTATCAATCAATAGGATATCAACAAGGTTATTTTATGCGTAAAGTGAACCGACTTCTTGTGAGATTCTTGGCCCCAGGGCCAGGGGCTCTAGTGCTAGGGCTATATAGATTATATAGTGAAAAGGCATTAATTTTTTGAAAGTCTTCCTCTCTGCTTCTGGGTATTAAATGAACCAACTAAGTAGAACACAGTTATGATGAACATGAGTTCCTCTTCCAAATTGTGAATTTTATTGCCCCAGGGTCAGGGCTTCTGGTGTTAGGGCAGAGATTTATTGATTATATAGTGAAAATGCATTAATTCTTTGAGAATCTTATTCTCTGCTTCTATGTATGAAATTAAATAAGTACGTAGTTATGATGAGCAAGAGTGCTTATAGCAAAATTATGAATTTTATGGCCCCAGAATTAGGAGTTCTGAATATAGAGCGGAGTTCTCTTGATTTATTATATAGTGAAAATACATTTAACCTTTGTAACCAAGCTAAGCAATTTCTAAGTGTATAATTATGATGAGAAATGGTGCATCTTTCAAAATTGTGAATGCCATAGCATGATACTCAGGTGACCGATAAGGCCCATGGACCTCTTGTTTTAAGTTGAAATACAATGGATTTTCAATCTAATATATAATTTGTATCTATATTCTATCATATCTTATTTTATGAATCATTATCTCAACGTTAGGATTTTATTTTCAAAAAGCATTGAAAATTAAATTTCCCAGTCACTAGAAATTTTTACCTCTTGAGAATTTTTTTTTCACTCATATGGAGACGTCACCGTATGCTGGTGAAGGGCTTCAAATTTTGACCTTTACTCGGCACTCATGGCCATTGAGCAGTGAGGGATCTTTATCGTGCCAATGCCTGCCGCTGACACGGGGCTTTGGTTTTTAAGGTCTCATCCGAAGGACCCGCAACTTTCATTTCAAAGTGCCGAGCGCATGGCGAAGGAACAGTTGCTACCCATTTTTTATCGACTTAGGTCAACTCGCGGCCGAGATGCGAACTCACGACCTCCCGATCACGGAGCGAGCGCTCTACCAACTGAGCTACCGTGAACGATTTCAACATTCTGTATAGATGATATATATGAAGATAAGGAACAGTATTCAAGCTCAAAGTCCATTAAACAATAGAAAACAGGAGCAGAGCAAACACGGACCTCTAAAACATCAGAGATGGGATCATGTGCCATGAAGAAATGAGCATCCCCTGCTGACCGTTCACACATGCCTTGTGCTCCTTGTCATGATCAGTAAATAACGGAAAACAGTGTATAAAGGCTGATAATAATTATTCAGTCAGTCAGCATTTGACTAAACAGTACTACTGGACTTTTGTATTATCTTTGTAAGGTTTTCTAATCAAGTTTAGGAATCAAATATAGGAATCCAAGTTTTACATAGAAAAATATAGGAAAAAGAACCACTGGGCCAAAAAGCTGACAATTATGTGGAAGCATCTTGGGGTAGCATAAATTCTTAAGTACCAGTATTCAAATAATGACAGTGGTGAGGAGTAGGGGGCACAACAGGTATAACAAGAGGGGAAATCTGGTTAGGTACTGCATCACCAAAGTGAATCTGGTGAGTCCATGGGCTTCAAGATTGTTGTTTGGAATATTTAAAACAATCATAATTGGCATATGATTTTAGGAATTGTTTTTCCTTTAAAATGGAACTGACTTCAATTTGGATTTCCACCTGTCAAATTAAATCCAAGTTCCTGTAAAATACAATTTATTCAATGAGCTTTACAAACAAAGACAATGCTGTTACTCGCTGTGCCAGCAGGGTCTAGTACATACTGATGAACTAATATTACTATTTAATTCTTTTTTTTACCTCAGGATTATTGAATGCAGAAGGATAGAGGCGTTTTACATTGCCCCTCAATCTTCTAATACAATTTTAACAAACACCTTATACATTTAATCCATTCTGACAGTGTCAATCTTATTCTCCATGCCAGATCCATCACCTGACATAATCTTATACAGAGTCCCAAATATAAATGAAATTCCGACGCCAAAAAATCAGGGTTCCATATATTGAGAACCTCCTCAATTAGTTATCAAAGGTCTGCATTATTAATTTCAATATTTACCTCACCAGAAATGATGTTTCCAACAGTTATAAGGTGAAGATATCAAGATAATGAATATCAAGATCCTGTAAAGTTTTCTTGTAATGATAAAGTTTTGAAACAATAGTCGATCTTAATAAAGGTTAATTTTATTTAAATCTAGACAACGCGCTTCATAGATACAGGGCCCGACATAATTGATGCTCGCTGGTCTGGAGGCCTATGAGTTTTTACTTGTAACTAGTATATTATAGAGGACGGATGTTTTTTTGCATGGAACGCTTAATTAACAGATAGTTCTTCAAATATTTTAACCTTTCTTCAAGAAATATTTTTTTGTCAAATCAATAGTAGTTCCTATATTTAAATATTATTTAAATATTTGAAGATAAGTACAATTGATTTGAAAATAAATACAACTGATTTGAAAATAGGTACAATTGTTTGAAGAAAGGTATGCACATGTCATGAATAAAAAAAGATGGGTACTATTAATTTCAAGATAGGTACTATTGATTCAAAGATAGGTATCATGCTTACGTCTAATTCAACGATGGATATGGAGATAACGAACAGTATTCAATCTCAACGTCCATTAAACAATATACAAAATAAGAGCAGAGCAAACACGGACCTCTGAAACATCAGAGGTGGGATCAGGTGCCATGGAGGAGTGAGCATCCCCTGCCGACCGGTCACACCCGCCGTGTGCTCGTTGTCATGTGAGATATTGAGTAAGCTTCACCCTGCGATATTTATGCCTTAAATGATTAATGAAGGACTGACATTCAGTCGTAGATTTAGAAATATTTATTGACAGAATTTTTTCTAAATGCGGTTTTTATCGTTGAAGCTGCATTGAAAAATGCAGAAAATCTCCCACCCAAATACTATATATATTATAACAATTGCTTTCAGATAGTTTAAACACTATGAATAGTCTGAAATATTTGATTACATAGTGATATCTATCATATTTATCGTTTGTGCGTAAAAGTTCGCATTATGGACTCCGTTTTAGGCCCGTAAACATGAAGTATCTAAACTCCATACAAACTCTAAACAGGGCGGTATTTGTGGGACGATATCTTTTAAATCAGTCAAGAAATCCCATGACAGGACAGTTTTATTAATGTTAAGCACATATCAAATTAGTAATATAAAAAATACGAAAAAAAAAATCACGGACAGGAATTCTTTCTGCAAAAGGTCCTGTTCCTCCTTACATATATCTTCAAAACAATTGTACATATCTTTGAAACAATTGAAGAAACGCATAATTCAATTGAATTATCTTTAATTGAATTTAAGATAGTTGTAAGTCCATTTAAGATAGGTGTAATTTATTAAAACGTAAGTTTAATTATTTAGAAATAAGTATTATTATCTTGGACCTATCAGGTGTCTTTAATTCATTTATACGCATCTTCAATTCCTTTAGAGACGGGTATAATTATTTGAAGATACATGTTAATTATGCATTCCATACTTTTGGTCGGTTTTTAATGCACAGCAAAATCCAATAAAAGTCGGAATACATGGTATGGAAAATTATTCAAATATATTAACTTTTGAAAATTGACTTGGAGGACGTTGGCGGGAGAACAATACTATCATTCATAGTTCTTTCTATTTAATTTTTTAAACCAAAACATTTGTACATAAGAGATAAATAGAGGCTTGATGTTGAATTAGATAATTATAACACAATGTTGTAATTTACAGAGAGACCTCCCTGACAGAAGGAAATCAACACGGGATTCTTGAACCACAGGAAGATGCATAGATTGGTGTTACAGAAATCTGTCAGAGTGTCAGGTGTTAGTAAGTGTCGTCACATTACACAAGTGTCAACAGACCGGGTCTGGATCAGTGATTATAAAGGCAATCTCATCTTAACAAATACGAATGGTGACAAACTAGATCATGTGACAGATTTAACTGAATATGGTGGTGGAACACATACTGTGACTGATGAAGGATATTTAATTTATATAGACAGTAACCGTGACATCAACAAACTGTCTAACGATCAAGTTAAGACCACAGTGATACCGTGCACAGAACCATGGGAACCATACTGTGTCTACAGCTCCCCCTCTACTGGAGACCTGCTGGTCGGGATGAAGAATACTGATACAAGGATATGCCAGGTAATCCGTTACACTAACACAGGACAACACATACAAACCATACAGCATGACAATACAGGTCAGGAACTGTATAGTTATCCTATCTACATCACAGAGAACCGCAATGGAGATGTCATTGTGTCTGACTATTGGGATAGTGCTGTAGTGGTGACAGACAGTAGAGGCAGATATCGCTTCTCCTACACAGGTCCTACATCAGGATCACAACTAGATCCATGGGGAATCTGTACTGACGCACTGTCACACATCCTGGTGTGTGATCTTAACACCAATACAGTACATATCATTGACAAAAACGGTCTCTTTCTGTCACAGTTAGAGCCAAAACAACACGGGATAGACAGACCACTGGGCCTGAGTTATGATGACAACACCGGGTCTTTAGTGGTTGGATCTAAGGACAGCAACACAGTGAACATCTACAGACTTATCCATGGAGGGGATAATCTGACTGGTAAGTAGTACTGAAGTACAATGTTTTCTTACAAGGTTTAGTGTGTACTATATTATATTATAATATATTACAGTCATTGTTTTGTGTGCAATAATAAGACATAAAGGAATTATCATACTGATATTTTTACATTTTTAAGTGTAATTACATTACATGATTAATTGAGTTCTTGCGTTTTTTTGACAAGAAATGTTTTAAGATGATAATAATTTATTAGTAATAATAAATACCTAATACGTTTTGGATGATATACAAGAAATTTAATTACGGTTATTTTAATAAGTACATACACCCCTTCTAATGTTATTGTGATTTAAATTCAAGACACGCGGTTTAGGTTGACCCATTCAAAGGTTATAGAATGAAACCTGTTTTATGAATTGGTATAGTCTGTTTGAAAATCGTCTGTTTCTTTTGAAAAGATGTCCTGTAAAAAATGTGTTTCCAGACCTTTCTGAAAGACTTTCATGATTTTCAACAGAAAATGGTGGCTAAAGGGGGGTGGGGTAAAATAACAATATATCTGAAAATTAGAGCACACTAGCGACCATAAAAATGTGTAATATCATCTACACTGACAAACCTTTGTTTGCCTTATATGGCTATTGTTATTAATACGCACATAGGTTCTTACCACGAGCAACTGACCAATCCTTGAATAGCAACGTTTACGCCAAATACATGTTTATATTTTACTTTGAACACGTGGTTCAGGTCAATCTGTGATCACGTCAATGGAGTGTAAAATTAAAAAAAAATTCTTATGAACAAAATACAATAAATAGAAATTATGAAAGATGTCAAGGGCGTTTTTAATCTTTGGTTCATTAGACAAAAATATGTTTAATAAAATGTACTTTGTGTCAAATCCAGAACACTAACGCTTCAACAAGAGTAAGGAAAACGAGCAGCATCACATACATTTAAATGGACGAAACAGTTTTTACATAACTATACTCGTGGTCATGTGTTTTGACCAGGGAATCCACCTGACAATTGTATTCACAGATAGTACAACAAAAGAATAAATAGAGACACAAATCGCTTTCAATTGCATTATGACTTTGAGAAACCTAGACTTCCATCGTTTATCCAACAAATGAATTGTGTGTCATTGTGAGCATGAAAATAATCAATTTTAAAAAATGCTTTTCATTTACGAAATGGATGGGAAAATGGTCTTTGTGTCTTTCCGATCGCCTTAAAATTTTCCTTTTCATTCAAGCGTAAAATTCCTGTAGTATTCGTTATGACCCATAATGCAATTCTCATTCAGCTGATTGGTCAGTTAAAGTCATGTTGGTGCCTCATTTGCTAATCTGACGCCAAAAAATATAGTCCCGGTTCCCATGCTAGAATATTTGTCCTAAAAGAAATTTTAATTCATGACTGCAGAATTTGTATCATAGAGAACACTTATTTAAGTTTGAATGAATTCCAGAGAGATCGATTGAAGTGCATTTCTACAGATGTTATAGGGTGGTGAAAACTGAAACGCTAAGAGTTCCGTTTACATGTATTAATGTTACGTAAAATGAAAGGATGTACAAATTGTTTTGATCAAAATAAAAGTATGCTGGGTCAAACTGTCAAGAAAGATATGAAGATTTCCGTACTAGAAAGAACAGCATTTTGAATATTTAAAAATGAAATAAATGGAAAAAAACAAATAGTATTCAAGCTCAAAACTTCTTCAAACAATACAAAATTGGAGTAGAGCAAACAACTTTGTTGTGTTTGACAAACTACTCTTGATTTAATAATTGACATAGATTGTGCCCTACATCATATATAATGTAGTATAATGTGTGAAGTTCCCTGACTGTCTAATGATTAATTGTATAACTCTCATTAGTCCCCTATCCCTACTTATAGGCAGTATATACGGTAGATAGTGTCCTATATCATGTTTAATGTAGTATAAAGTGTTAAGTTCTCTGACTGTCTAATGGTTTGTTGTATAACTCTCATTAGTACCCTACCCCTACTTATAAGCGAGTATATACGTAGATTGTGTCCTATATCATGTATAATGTAGTATAAAGTGTTAAGTTCTCTGACTAGTTAATGGTTTGTTGTATAACTCTCATTAGTACCCTACCCCTACTTATAGGCAGTATATACGGTAGATGGTATCCTTCATAAAGCATAATGTGGTATAAAGTGTTAAATTCTCTGACTGTCTAATGATTTGTAAAATATTTCTCATTGATACTGTGTTCTATTTGGGTTAACATAATATTTTCATATTCCTCTGCTAGATGGTTTGTAGGTTAAATTTTAAGATCACTACAAATGTCAGGTAATGGAAAAATGGCTGTTAAATTGGTTTGGGGTTCATGTCTGTTGGGGGGGGTTATGTCCTATTTCTCATCATTAGATGACATAAACTTTGAATTCATCATACAATGTGTTCAAACAAAAGGATGAGTGCACTTAAACTATGAGAGTTTGATCCCGATGTTTTGCGCAAAATAAAATCCTGATTTTTTTTCATTTGATTTATGTATTATAGGTATTAGACAATGTCTTAAGGAAGGCCCACAATATTACGGATCCGGTTTTTATTTTACACATCGATATAAAATTCTGATTTTCACTTGCCTATTTATTTAAAATCTTTTTGGGTGATTGAAAATGATTTAGCAAGTATATATTTGTTAATTATAGTGTTATTGTGCATGCAAAGCATTTATTATACATTATTTATGGAAAGTAACACGTTGTACTCTGTCCATAAGATCTATATGTCATTTAGTACATACACAGACACAAACTTCTTAACTGCTATTATGGACCTAGATCTTTTTAATTTTCGTTTAGGCAAACTAACTTGAGGTCTATTTTTTGTTTATTTAGAACCTATATCATCCATTTAATCTTTACTTTTTAAAAATTTTGCAATGAATAATTGAAAAAAAAAAATGATTTTCCAAAATAGGGTATACGTCGTCAAAGAACTGTTTTGTTAAAATTCTCTGGTCAGCCATAATAAAGTATGTGTTTTTGTTAACATTAGATATAATTCCCAATAGTTTTAAAGAAAAAATGGCATCTAAACAGTTTGGATTTTGAGAATTATAAAAAATAACGATATTTTGAGATTTTTTTCTGAAAGATGGGGACAGATTCAACATCAATTTGTTAATGTTTTGCAGTAAAGATTTCAAATATTCTCTTGGCAAATAAATATTTTTGATTTTAATAAGTTTTAACATAAATTTTTTATATGATTTGGTGCATAACTAAATGAAATATGATATCACACTTCTTTATGTTCAAGTTTGGCTTCTGAATTTTTATATGTTTTGAGTCATGTTGTATGAAAATTAACCCCCAAAGATATGTCTTTTATGAGTGTTTTCATTTGTTTAAGACTTATTCAAGGTATTGAATTAAAAAAATTATCAGTTTGACAGAAAATTCCGAAAAAACGGACCTACCTTAAGAGCAGATTTTGGTATATCATATTACATGAAAGTACTAAATAATGCCGAGCTACACTAGTTTTTGAGTCAGGGGTCTAACTTTTTTTTCTCATTTCTATTGTTATTCATATCCATACCTGTTTTTAACGACATGGTTTACATCGAGCCGCAATTTGGCCATTCATCTCATTTGCGTAGAATGTGTATTTTAATTTAAACTTAAACATATCAAAAGGACAATGCGGCTCATATAAGTTTTTGAAAAAGTTTCCTAACTACTGTCCGTCAAGGTAGCCTCAATGTCAACAATTGATATTATAATCTCTTTACTCGTGTGACATTCCACGGTTTAATACGCCAACGGTTTCATGGTACATTTCATTGTTTTGTCTGCTAGAGTCAGGAAATGAATACATTAGGTGGTTTGTAGCTTAGATATCTTTAAAGATTACAACAAATTTCATGAAACAGGAAAAAAAGTTGTAAAATATGTGGGGTGTTAATGTAGGTGTTTGTGGTGGGAAGATTGAAATAATAGGTTGGAGATCTGAGGAGGCAATGTCCTAGAACTGATCTTCAGATGATATATGCAGTCTTAAATTAATCCATTTAGACATACAAAGTTCAATCACAGTGACAACAAACATTTTCTACAAAGTTGACAGCTAGATATAGACACCATTGATATTGTTATGGACTTTATATATATAGAGACTTTGATAAATAATGCTTTTTGATTTTAAAAATAATATGTTTAATAACTTTTAATGTTTATTTCATGTCTTGATTATCGTTCTTTGTTGTTATGTATAGATGTCGCTTTAATTTAATCACGTGATCATTATACTTGTATAGAAACCATGATTTTTGTTAATTTGTTAGTCGGTTGGCTCGCGTGGTTCTGAATAAGAACCATAGTTCTTGGATAAGGAAACAAATATATAGATAGAAAGTCCTGAATAAGGCAAACGTTCCTGAATAAGGAAATATCAAAGCTTTCATCCTGAATAAGGATTCAAATTGATTGATGCTGTGCCTTACTGACGCCATATGTTTACAATTGATGACTGATAGACTTCCAATAAATTATATAAAAGTTACAACATCTTTTCATTCCAAGAAGTTAGAAATCAAAAGAACCCCGTAACAGATTGGTGGCAGCGGTGGGATTGGAAACTATCAGCCTTCATACAAAATGGCATCAGGAGGCGAAGAAAAAGAAAAAAACAGAATTGGAGTAATATAGCGAAGCGGCGCAAAAACGGAAATCAGTGCGCGACTCTGGCATTGAAGATACCGCAGATGTTAAGATAGTGGAAGAAGAGAGTCCTCCAAGGTTATCATGGGATTATGCGAATCTTTATTTATCGGGCAAGGGACCAAGTGAAGGTGCGCGTTTGACTGAGAAAATGCGTTCTCAAGGAGGTGCCAGTATGTTGCGCACGCCGCATGACCGTCGTACGTCAAGGGATATACTTAGATCAAGAGGACGTACGCCGGTAATGGACGGATCGTACCTGGATCCAACGGAATATAAAGACGACGAATATCCAATCTCAGCAAAGCCAGACA